CCATTTGGCTACCTCCACCATTTTTGCTAGCAAATTGCAAATTATGTGGAACACCTGCCCTCTCTAATACAGACATGTTTCGGTTTAGAATTATAGTGTCCCATATCTTGTTGATAACAGGTGTAAGGGTTAACCCCCTGAAATTAGTTCGTATTTCACGCTTCTGACACAATCCCAGATTCATTGTTATTAATTTTGTCATATTCATCAGTACTTGATGCTAATTCTTCTTTTGCCTCTTCATTGCCATCTTTTTGACTTAAATTGGTTTCATTAATAAAGCAAGACACAATTTTTTCCTTGCCCTATAGAGGCTCAAACAAGAGCGTCTCTTGCGAGTCCTGAAAACAAATATAAGCAATTCAATATTCCATTTCTTACCCATTATAAGAATTACATGGAAAGAGGTAGCTATCAGAACTAGCAACCTTAACTTGAAAAATGTACATGCACGTAACAGTCCGCTAATTATCTAATGTACATCTAATACAATCCGTTACCGTCCATAGAATTCATACGTAGTCGTCTAACGACATTGCGTTTGAAACCTTATTATTTACAATATGACCACGTTCCTGTTCTGGATTTGTCATTTTATGGCTTGTTTATACACAGTTTACTTACTGTTAATAGTTTGAGTGGCTCTGAGGCACATATACTGAGAAATCACTAAAAAATATGAACTTGGACATCTCAGTCGGTAAGTTTACACCTTATATTCCGCTTCTAGTAAACCACCTGGCAGATTTGACCCAGTCTTTATAACCATCCATATACGAGTATACGTCACCGAATGGAACTAGTTAAAAAGGAAATCTTATCTGAGAATCTTGCCTACAGGCGAGAAAGAGGACATGCTGTCTTTCCCATCCGCCATTTTTTGTTATCGTTACCGCAAAATTTTGCAAATCGCCTTGTCGTAACCGTCATGGTATAACACCGTGATCATACACTTATAATAATATGAGCATCGGTCAATAAATAAGTACCATCAAATGACAATAATATAATATCGTTGCTTTTACGGAGTTGGGTTAGGGGTATTGCTATATCCTGCATTTCTTAATCTGTAGAGGAACCAACATCGGGCTCTCATATTTCTACTTTATCAGACGACTTCATACAATTCCAGAGAAATTAATCATTCTGCTTTCTTTTGGTGATTTCGTATCTTTTAGTTGATTTCATAGAACATATTTTGCAAAGTGTGAAAAGAATATTAGCCCAGGACTTAATGCAATGTGGCTGTTTATTCCACCCAGGCGTTGTTTCCTAAACTAAACAAATTTATCATCAATTTTCGACTTACTGTAACTGAGGGAAAAAATGAGAAAATTTGGAGGTATTGGAAATAAAGTCAAGTTACGTTTCCATCAATATCATAAGTTATGTCATCACAGGTTAAGTAAATAAAAATTCAAACGTAAAGAGGCTTTAACACGTAGTGCAATGGGGGTTCAGTTCAGTTCAGTGTCTTTATTTCCTCCACATAGGTGAAGATTTAAACATTACATATAATTACAGACAATTCACATTAACAGATTATTTACATTTGTACATATTATTACATATAGATTTACATTTAGAGTTTTTACATTTCTGTTTGTTTGATAACTGTTTTTAACCATTAGATCAATGTAATATGCACTATTCAATAGGAACTGTTCAATTGTACCATCTTGGCAATTTTGAAGTACATCAGTAGTGCTTCCTAATAACGTTTCTACAATAATATCTTCAGAAGTGTTCAATAATTGAACTGATAAATCAATAGGTAGTATATTAACAATACCATTTAAGAGTTTCTCTCTCAAATAAATAACTCGGATATGCTGGCAGTGAAGAACAAGGTGACTGACCATATCAATTGTTAACTTTTTACATGCAAGGCATTTCGTTTCTTTTTCGGTAAAAAGTAAAAGGAGTGAAAGTAACTGGCCAAGTCGCCAAGTAAACATGGGATATTTTAGACCAAGTTCCCAATAAATAATAGGCTTATACTCTATATGAACATTTGAAAAGCGTTGTAATCTTGGATTAATGTGGACAGTCTCTCGCCATGTTTTTGATTCTGTATACTGAATTTGGCCATTTACTAATAATTTCCATTTTCCTTTGTCCATAATTCTATGTTTAAAAGCATTTCCTTCCAAATAAGTTAAAAATTCTTGACGGATAACAGGATATGTATCTAAAATAGACATGACGTCATTTAAAAAACCCTGACTATGCAGATTATGGACATCTCGTACAATCGTGCTCGCAAGGGGAATTATAAATATTTTTTTCTGTATTAAGATGTCACTTAATCTGCATAGTCGTCCTAGAAACATTAATTTTAATTTATGTATATACGATTGCACTGAATATTGCCCCAGGGAGCTTATCACAGCTCCACTCGGTGTACGATTCACCATACCCTGAAATCTTTTTGCTATGTGACGCTGTGTAATCTCTACTGTTTCAATTTCATTAGGACTTAAAGAATACCATAGTTCGCATCCGTACATTGCCGTCGGCATAATGATACGATTCCATATTTTAAGACTTACTAATGGGTTAAGTCCTCCATTGTACATTCCAATGTTGCATAAAGAGTTAAAACACGCTCTAGCTTTTTTATTAGCATCTATCAAGGCAGGTTTGGAAGTGAGATTTTTGTTGATAATATTGCCGACATATACTTGTTCATTTCTGGTAGGTATTGAATCCTTACCTAATGACCAGTTTGAGTTACACTTATTTAGGTTTGATTTCCCAAAGATAATTACAGCACTTTTACATTGATTTAAAGGTGGGCCAGCATGATATACTAGTCTCCAACGACAGCTGTACTTGTATACAATATCTAATAGATTTTGTAGACCACTAGCAGTGGCAGATATGACCGTCGTGTCGTCGGCTACAAGTATACATGGCAATTGTAAATCTGGTGCAATCCTAACACCAAAAGATGACTGGCACATTTCAATTATTAGGTCATTAATGTAGATTTGAAACCAGATTGAACTACAAATTCTTCCTTGACCACAGCCTTGATTTATGGTTATCTCCCTAGAGTATTCATCATCGTACAAGACTCGAGCACTGGTATTGCTATACCCTTGTACTATGAGTCTCCACGAGAGCCCATTGATACCTAAATTAAAAAGTTTTACAAATAGCCCATGTCTATACAATAAATCAAATGCCATACGATTATCAAGAAATGCACAAAAAACTGTAGAGTGTCGTTCATTAAAGTGATGTAGGACTTCCTTTAAAACGTACGTTGCCATTTGGCTACCTCCACCATTTTTGCTAGCAAATTGCAAATTATGTGGAACACCTGCCCTCTCTAATACAGACATGTTTCGGTTTAGAATTATAGTGTCCCATATCTTGTTGATAACAGGTGTAAGGGTTAACCCCCTGAAATTAGTTCCTATTTCACGCTTCTGACACAATCCCAGATTCATTGTTATTAATTTTGTCATATTCATCAGTACTTGATGCTAATTCTTCTTTTGCCTCTTCATTGCCATCTTTTTGACTTAAATTGGTTTCATTAATAAAGCAAGACACAATTTTTTCCTTGCCCTATAGAGGCTCAAACAAGAGCGTCTCTTGCGAGTCCTGAAAACAAATATAAGCAATTCAATATTCCATTTCTTACCCATTATAAGAATTACATGGAAAGAGGTAGCTATCAGAACTAGCAACCTTAACTTGAAAAATGTACATGCACGTAACAGTCCGCTAATTATCTAATGTACATCTAATACAATCCGTTACCGTCCATAGAATTCATACGTAGTCGTCTAACGACATTGCGTTTGAAACCTTATTATTTACAATATGACCACGTTCCTGTTCTGGATTTGTCATTTTATGGCTTGTTTATACACAGTTTACTTACTGTTAATAGTTTGAGTGGCTCTGAGGCACATATACTGAGAAATCACTAAAAAATATGAACTTGGACATCTCAGTCGGTAAGTTTACACCTTATATTCCGCTTCTAGTAAACCACCTGGCAGATTTGACCCAGTCTTTATAACCATCCATATACGAGTATACGTCACCGAATGGAACTAGTTAAAAAGGAAATCTTATCTGAGAATCTTGCCTACAGGCGAGAAAGAGGACATGCTGTCTTTCCCATCCGCCATTTTTTGTTATCGTTACCGCAAAATTTTGCAAATCGCCTTGTCGTAACCGTCATGGTATAACACCGTGATCATACACTTATAATAATATGAGCATCGGTCAATAAATAAGTACCATCAAATGACAATAATATAATATCGTTGCTTTTACGGAGTTGGGTTAGGGGTATTGCTATATCCTGCATTTCTTAATCTGTAGAGGAACCAACATCGGGCTCTCATATTTCTACTTTATCAGACGACTTCATACAATTCCAGAGAAATTAATCATTCTGCTTTCTTTTGGTGATTTCGTATCTTTTAGTTGATTTCATAGAACATATTTTGCAAAGTGTGAAAAGAATATTAGCCCAGGACTTAATGCAATGTGGCTGTTTATTCCACCCAGGCGTTGTTTCCTAAACTAAACAAATTTATCATCAATTTTCGACTTACTGTAACTGAGGGAAAAAATGAGAAAATTTGGAGGTATTGGAAATAAAGTCAAGTTACGTTTCCATCAATATCATAAGTTATGTCATCACAGGTTAAGTAAATAAAAATTCAAACGTAAAGAGGCTTTAACACGTAGTGCAATGGGGGGGCTAAGGTTGCCAAACTTTTTCACTTTTTGAATGCTAATTTCTTAAAACTGGTGCAAAATTGTAAAAGAGTCAATCGCCAATATGTGCATGCCTGTTTGGTATTTCCTCTTCATCTTTCTAAATTGATCACCGTGAATATAAAGATGTCAGCACTAATCTTAACGTTCACCCGTCCACTGATAAAATTCGAGATTTGTGAAGTTTTTTGAGTCACCAAAAGGACTTTGGACCTAGATTAGATTCAATGAATAAGTTGGATCATTTCAAAATGGCAGGATTTGAAGAAGAAAGTGGAACTGTTCGGATATTTTCCAAAGACGATTTCACGCTTCTGACACAATTTGATAACGGTAGTTTTGGACGTGTTTATGAAGCAAAGCTTGAAAACCACGCGCGCCATCAACGAATTGCAGTGAAGACATTTACACAAAACATCGGTGATGCGTCATCAGAAAGGTAAAACGAAAGTATATTCTTTATCTATTTCCTCTTAGTTGAGGAAATTTGTAAAGTTCGAGTCGACCTATGTCGTATTTCGAAAGTATACAATATATTTGAGTTTAAGTAATGTCGTTTTATTAACTAGTTAAAATCTAACAACATAGGAAGAAAAAACAAGTTTTGAATGGTTTGTTGAAAAGATTGACCGAGAAATAACGCTCTATTTTACATTTTATACATGTTGCTCAATTGAGAAATACACGTTATTAATTAAACTAACGGAGATCTTGGCTATGGAGCAAATATAGAAAATTGCATTTTCTAATTTTAGTCGGACACAAGCGTTGATAGAAGAGGCCACACAAATGTTTGAGGCCATACACCCTAATGTTGTTCAAATATTAGGGATCGTCTTAGAAACTAATTATCATGCACTCGTTATGGACTTTTGTGAAAACGGATCAGTCAGAGAGTGAGTTCTTCATTTCCAAAATAATTCATCCCCTAATCGACGGTGTTGCAAATCGTACATCAAGTACATCATTTGAGGATTGTACGTTTTGTATGCGCCATATGCATAATGTTCTTTGCCATGTCATCTTTTCAGCTTACTGAGAAGTATCCCAACAATTTCAATATCCTTACGGTACAGGATATTGTACCAAGTTGCAAAAGCGATGAATTTCTTGCACCAAATGAATCCAGCGATCCTTCATTTAGATCTTAAGGCGTCAAATGTTTTGTTAGACATTTGCTGTCATGTTAAGGTAATTTGCATAGTATTCTGAATTTTTGACTTGATATATTTTGATGGAGATCATTTGTTTATAATCAATTTGGATTCATATTTTTTGCTAGAATACGAATGTGATCTTTTACCTTATGACACATGCTTTAACATTTATTTATTAATTATTAATTGATAATCTACTTGTTTAATTTGAGATATGCGACTTTGGCTTATCTGAGAGTTTTAGTACCAAAGGAGGGACAGTTACGCATATGTCACCACAACAATTGAAAGATTCAGGCAGACCTGCGACAAAAGAGGATGATATGTATTCGTGAGTAACAGAATTATACTTTAGAGAAATATATATCAGAATGAGCTTAGATTTTCTAAAGTTCTGACACATGTTCGTCAGAATCTGACTATATCACGTGGAAGCGTGGAAAAGAAAAGCTTGACGAATTACCCAGTCAACGGCTGCTCCTTTTTTATTACAAACTTGCCCGTCCAGTTCCTCCACAGTGAAATGGTGTCATAAGAACACAAAGCTAATGATAATAGGTCAAGAAACTACACAGGGCACTAATAAGACTTTGTAGATCTATCGTTTGAAATGTAATCAATTATAATTTCCCAAGATTAAAAGTGTTGAAAACCTATGTCTAAAATGTTTATTTCGTTGATATACGATACTTCGTATTTCTTATGCACGTACATGATGGCTGGATTATTAGATTGCATATTTTCACAAGATACATATCAATCGATAACGTGTATTATCATCTGCAAAGGTAGAGTAGATTAGGGTAATTAGTTTGTTGTGACATATACAGATTAATGAATATGAGTTTGGATCCATTGGGATTTTGTACTCCGTGCAGTTGTAGATTTTTAGTTATTCGTTGATAATCCTTGCTCTTCGGTCTATATTTTTCTTGATTCAACAATATTTAAAATGTCGTGTTTACAGGTATGGCATTTTTATATGGGAAGTGTTTTCTTCTGGAAGGGAGCCATACAAAGGTTCGTTGCACGTTTAATTTTTTGTGACAGGCCTCCCGACCCCAAGTCAATTCAAATCCAGTAAATCTCAATCCCATCTATTTCTACGATATATTTGAATTATTAAGTTCATTAATTTCTAATAAGTATACTCAATCTTTTACAAATTGTACCTGGAAGTATTCCAACTAAAATTGTGAAGTATCAGACAAAATGATAAAATATGGGTAGAGTTATGGCTACTATGCTAACATGACATCACAATACCCGGGGTGATATCTAACATTTTTGCAACAGAAGAAAGTATCTAATTCACCTATTATAATATGCAGAGTGTCTCAAAAAATGTTACACTTACAAATAGTTCAATATCTTTCATGATTTTGAATTTTCCCCTAAAATATACCGGACCAAGATACCAAAAGACCAGTCTTTCTCGAATAAATCGACACCATCCGATTCAAAATCGGTTCATGATTGGCTGCACAGGATAGATTTTATAGACGCATGTGAAATCTGATTTGCGCCAATTTCTCAGTGGTTGGACATGTGGTGATTAATTCTGTATTGGTGTGAATGCTGTGGGCAGTCGATGTCTTGATATGATCAATGATCTAGTTGTTCCTTTCCTGGATAGAAATACAAAATTTCATTGTCAGAGCGTTCAATTTCGTTACGTATGATGGGAACAAGATGGTGCAAAAGGCCTTTGGCAGATCGTTTGGTAGAACTCTTTGGAAATCAGAAGATAGCATTGAAACTCAATTGATTGGCCCCCAGGGTCATCCTTATATCCTTGATTTTAAAGGGCCTCTAAAGGGGTTTACAGCATTACAAAATGACCTAAATGAATTTCTACAAAAATAATTGATAGAATCAGTGTAATATTACAATGCATGTTCGCATGGGCAAGGGTACCTCAGATCCTCAGATTTGCTTTGGAGAATGTATGTTGAGGGGACCACATGTTTATGTAGATAGACCCAATGATCATATGAAAGAAAAATAGGAAAATTACAGAATGATTCAGTTAAAGGTCAAGCTTCTACTCAGAAGAAAGTTAAATGTTAAAGAGACTGTTCCTCTTTTGTCATTTGGTCCATCCAATCACTTAGAAGTTGGCGCAAGTCAGATTTTACGATGGGACACTAAAAGCTGTTCTGTGGAGCCAATCACACTGGCGGATTAGGGGGGGGGGGGGGGGGGGCCTGGGGCCCGCCCCCCCCCCTTGGGTGGGCCCAGAAAAAAAAATTGGGCCCAAAAAATTTGTTGGGCCAAACAAGGCCTTCATGCCCCAAAAAGTGGGCCTTTTTGGTCATTACTGGGCCTTTGAAGGCCTTATTTTTTAATTTCAGGCCAAATTTTGAAGAAAATGGGCCTCAAAATTTCTCTGACCTAAAATTTGCCCCCCCTTGTTGGTTCCTAGATCCTCCCCTGAATCAAGGACAGATTTTGAATCTGATGGTGTCAAATTATCCCAGAAAGATTTGTATTTTGGTATCCAAAGTATATTTTAGGGGAAAAGTCAAAATGATGAAAGATATTGAACTTTTTGTTAGTTTAACATTTTTTTGAGACACACAGTTGTATCAAGATTTTGACGACAAACGTGTGTCAGTATCATATGTTTAAGAAAACGGACATGTTTGCGGACATATTGTACAGAAGACAACAGAATCGTTGATTTAATACCTCACTATTGTTACGCAAACGGAACGGGTTAGAAGGGCAGATCTTAACCGTTTTGAAGTTCAATTCTACAAACATGTACATTTTCTTAGTCATATGATAAAATGTCCAGGGAACTCTGCCTACAACTCGTAAATAAAATAGTTCCCATTGACTAATAATCAAAATCATATTGTTATATCAGACAAAGTCAGTAGAAGTTCCTTGAATACTAATAAATGTTGTATCCTAATGCATTATTAATTTGAACCTAGAAAATGAACGTTTTTGCCAGTTTTCACCAATCGTCAAACTTTGGGCCTGTGGGGAGGGATTTTACAACCATAACTTATAATTTTTTTTTTAAATTCAAGTAACTATTTACTTCTGAAGGAGAAATGTAAAAACCTAATTATCAAGTAGTGTTGCCATAGCAACTGAAATGTCAGACATATTATGTAAACGATATGATGACTTTATTTCTTAGGTAACAAAAACTATTCTATTACTGTTGCTATAGCAACAGATTACATTTTTTCTTGATTTTCGCAATGTCAGATTTAGCATAATACTAAAACTAATTCCGCAGTTTCAACTGAGATATATAGGTGCCTTATAGTACCCCCTGTAGATTTTATTAGGGGAGTATGAGAAATGGTATGTAGAGAGTTGTTCAAGAGTACCACTCCGGCATCCAGTGGTTTTGAGGTCCCAACCCTGTGTTTGTGCTGATCTTTTATTGATTGATTGCGAATATATGAATTCGACTATGAGAACGTTTAAAAAAACGGGTTGGTCTAATGCCGAGAATTTATAGTAATTAACATATTTATTTTTATATTTCAGATTCAGTGGACGAGGAAACACTTAATAAACTGTTGCTTAAGATAGGGCAGAAATTGGGAGGAGCATTTGTTACTCTTGGTGTTGTTCTTGGTTTAGATAGATCTGATATAGAAAATATTCAAATCAGCAATCCGCATTTCGCTCAAAACTGGGGTTACGAAATCCTAACAACATGGAAGAGCAGACAAGATGTGGATAATACAAGCATCATAGAAAAATTGTATGAGGCATTAAGGGATGATAGTGTCAATAGGGTTGACCTTGCTAAACTGTGTGGATTTGGTATGTATGTATGTAATCTTTTAAAAAATGCATTTTCTATATTAAATGTGGATATAAAGTTTGTAGAAAAAAGAATTGCATGAATTATAAATCATTTTCTAAAATTAAGATTACAGCACATATACAGTGCATCGAAAAATGTTTGACATCAGTTCTTAAACGGGCGATATTAGATGTGTGTTACTCAGGCAATGAAATACCTTTTATATGCATTTTCGTACTTCGAGGTTCCAACATTTTGTTACCGAATCGGCCCGCTTGGACTGTGGAGTACCAGTGATATTTGGAATGATGAGTTTATAAAATCAACGATCAAATTCTAAGTTCTGCAAATTCGATAAGTGAAGGAATCGTTCAAATTAAAGACCTCGTAAATAATAATATTAATGAGTTCCTGGCTTTCGAAGAATTCTCTGGCTAAGTTAGTTTTGAAATAGCTAGAGGCTTGATTAAATGGGCTACCCTGTAGGTTAAACACTAAAGTTTGATTATTTAGATAAGTCACAACACGAAATTATAGAGGGAGTTGTAAGAGGAATGCGTCCGAGTGATGAGTTCCTTCTTGCCCCAACAGCAGACAATCGCCTGGAGGAGTTGTACGATTTCATGAGGCAATGTTATACCTATAAACCCACACGGAGACCAACATTTGAAGGTTAGTGGGAGAACATCGTTAAATCAGACAATGTTGATCAAATGGGCCATCGTACAGATATTTCCAAAATTACAAAACCAACCATACATAGCATGATATAGTATGATATGTTCCCTACCAGGTATAAAAATTTGAAAAGATTTAGTCATTAAAGATGCATTTTGCCATAGGTTTCTCCCCCAGACAATCAATGATGTCCTATTGTTATTGCTCATATAATATCTCACATACCATGGATATATCTTGAGAATAACATTTCGGTATATTATTGCCGAAATATTGAAATAATCAACAGAACAACCAAACTCTAGAATTAAACACAATCGATCCCTCGGCTAGCGAAGGGAATCCCCACTGAGTCACACAAGCTCCCACGGGCGCCTTGAACCACGCAGCCAATTAGGTTCATGGTAAACAAATTCAATAACAAATCAGATAAGAGGAGGACTTTCCCGGTATATTCAAACTGCAGATTGAATTAATTTCTGCGAAAATAATTAGATCGCCCAGCACAATCGCAAAATTAACACTGAAAGAGGGGGAATTGGGACTTCTTCTTTGGTAAGTAGATGGGTGAATATGTGGTGAAACTCAATATGCAAAAAGTCCAGAGGGGTCTTGATTGTGCTATACAATGGCAGAGAGCCTCTTTAAAGGTGCAACAATTAGTGCAGAGGGGCCATTCAACGATCATGGACCAGTGTCAAAATATATTCAAGTTTGGATATTTCATCAAGACTAACATATGTTTTCGGTTTCTCCAAAGAAACCCCCTGGATGAACATTATTTCAGCTGTTATTCCAGCTGTTTCCGTCACCTATTCGAAATTGGCGTATGAATCTGGTCAAACATTACATAGCTTAATGTTCCAATATTCTCACAAAATATTTGTTTTGGTGATCATTGGAACCGTAGTTTTAAAGGTAAATGTTTGTCCACTCCAAAAGGCGAATGATGAAATTTTCTCCGACGGAGATTCATCCATATTTTGTTGTAAAGGCGCATCGTCTACATGTATATAACCAGGTTGACATCCAAGAATAGAACAGGCAATTGTAGTTTGATTTGGGTAAGCATAAAATCAGATTCTATTGATTACTTTTTATAGTTTAGCAAAGTTTAATATTTATCATTTATAGTGGTCAGTCTCTTACAATTCCACAAAATGTGAAAAAACTAATAATAACAATTTTACAAAAGCCACCTTGGGCTTATTAACCAATGTTAACAATACAAAATTAATACTAGTACAGAAAAGGATAGGTAACGATATGGAGAACTGAATTCAACAATGTTTTTCTCTTAAACCAATCATTGAAAACATTCTGTAAAAACATGGTATTTTATGTAATGTTGACTGATTGACAACAATTTAATGCGAAAATTATTTAGAAATATTTTATATAACTGTTTTTGTTAACATTTTTTGTTTTTTTAGTGCAATTGTTTTTGTTCCTTTCTACCAATTCTTGAGAATGAAATAAAACGTCTTTCCGAACCTTGATTGTTGGAACAAAATAGCATATATAACATGTTTTTAGACCTCTCAATATTAAAGTTATATAAAGAAATTTTTGGTTGATTTTAAAAAAGTATTCAAAAAATTAAAACAAAATCCCCCCAAAATAGATAAAAATCAAGAAAAACCTTTTATTTTATTAACAAGATACTTTTTTAAAATCAACCAAAATTTCCTTTGAACAATTACAATATTGAGAGACCTAAACATGTTGTGTTTATGTCGTTTTGTTCCAATGAGGTTCGGAAAGATGTTTCATTTCACTCTGGAAACATGATACCAAGAGCAAAACAAGTGTTTGATGTGTTTTTTAAAACAATATAGATGAAAGTATGTACACTCTCCTCCATAAGTTTGGCAACCTTTTTTCCCCATTGAACTACGTGTTAAAGCCTCTTTACCTTTGAATTTTTATTTACTTCACCGGCGATGAAATAACTATAATATTGATGGAAACGTAACTTGACTTTATTTCCAATACCTCCAAATTTTCTCAATTTTTTCCTCAATTACAATAGGTCGAAAATTGATGATAAATTTGATGAATTTTTGAAAATCGTCATTCCCATGTAATCCAATGGGAAATGGGGGGTTCGGGGCAAATCAGAAATCAGGATATCTCTTCAGTAAAAGATTCAGGAAAAAATATTTTTATATAGAAAATTGAATTGTCTAACTTTTTTGAACACTAGGTGATAAGTTTATTTGATGAATATTAAAGTTACAGCGCTTCAAAGTCATTTTTGAAAATAATTTTTCGCCTCCTGTGTTATTTCAATGGGAGAGGTTTTTTGAAAAACAATTTTGACTTTAAAGCCCTATAACTTTGTTGAACCTGAAGAAACATATCAATTTTTTGTTAAATAAAGTTAGCAAATTCAATTGCCTGCCTAACTCGTATTTTTTGCAAGGACTCGGATGGATGGATATTCTGTCATATGACTTGCGGCAAACCTACCATTTCCCATTGGTTAACATGGAAATGTCGATTTTCAAAAATTCATCAAATTTATCATCAATTGTCGACCTATTGTAATTGAGGAAAAAAATTGAGAAAATTTGGAGGTATTGGAATTAACGTCAAATTTCGTTTCCATCAATAGCATAAGTATTTTCATCGCAGGTTAAGTAAATAAAAATTCAAAGGTAAAGAGGCTTTAACACGTAGTTCAATGGGGGAAAAAGGTTGCCAAACTTATGGAGGGTAGTGTATATCTATTTCAGATTATATTGTTACCATTCAAAAGATGGCCATTAAATTGACAATTTGTAAGATTTTCAGAAATTTTTGATGACTGGTTTAAGAGAAACGTGTGTTCAAAAAGTTCGCCATATCGATACCCATTCTCTACATCGTATGTTATAACTGAATTGCCTTCTTCGCACGAAAGCCATTTTGATCAATTTACCAATCTCACAGGTATGTTCCCCAAAAAGAAATTCAATTTTGCTACCTTCATTGTCCAAATGTTTTTCTCAGATCATCATATCTATTGCAATATATATAGAAAATGTGTTTGTGTTTGAACTGAATTATCATAACACATTGTACATAATCTTTCTTCTACACATTCCCCTTAAATCTGCCTGTCTCTAGCCTAAACGGCAAATTACCTCGTCTAAATTGAGCTGCTAGACTTCGCTCAAATTTTGAAAAAATCAAAGTTAAATACTTATCTACTTCAAACACCTTTTAAAGGTTACATAAGTGCGCAATTTTGGATAAATTCTGTTCTGTTCTATATCTTCTGATATAAGAATATCTCTGACATATTTTATCCATGCTAAATTACCCGATCTAGCTCCATAAAAATATTTTCTTAATGATTCGATCTTTGTCTAAACTTAGAAACCTATTCCAAATTATGATTGAATCAAGAGGGGGCTGATCCAACATTTCCATATGTTCCCATAATGCGGATGCAAATCGATGAACTCCCTAAAAAGTAACTTTGTGCCCGCTTATGAATATCATTACAGATACCCGGGTACCGATATCATGGATATTTTTGTCATATCCAAAACTCCTACACTATAACCTAGAATCGATAAAACACATGAACTATACAATTTTAGAGACAGAATGCTTTAAGGTGTGAATACCGTAATCCAACACGAAATTCTGAACACTACTTTGCAGACGGCGTTCGTGACCAATTATGAAACGCTTACCCCCCATAGTGATCAAAATGTACCTGTTCATATAAGGGTTCGATTGATCTACATCAAACTATAGGGAGTTTGGTTACTTTTTGAGATATCGGCGTCCATTGATTGTAACTCGCGTTTGCTACCATTTGCTCAATTCTGAGATTACGGGCACACGCGTAGTATTCATGCTCACGTTGGAACTATTTTGACCTAGTTGAAGTCTCCTTCCTCTTTATTTTTATACCAAATAATGGCATGCTTGGTACCCTAGAAGCCAAACTATGGTGTTATTTAGAAAAAATCACAGTTTTTAATGGGCTATATAGGGGTCATACCCTTTGGCGGATGGATATGGAACCTCACACCTTAATGATCTGCTTGTTTTAAATGACGACTTTGAGAAATCGTCTGGTATTTCGTTTTTGAATGTTTTTTGGGACTTCATTATCAGCATGCGAACCATCGGCCCTGATATATTCTAACACGTTACAATATTTGAACAAGATTAATATTCAGCTGTGGTTTAAAGGGGCAACAAGACCTTTAGAGAGAACATTTGAAATGTTTTACTTTTTCTGAGTTATCAGGGCAATATTCGGCTTAATATCCTTTTTGATATAACAATTTTCTTAAAATGTATGTATAAGCTATCATTTCAGCAAAAAAAGTGTAAATTAAGTTCAAAGCTTCTATGAAGGGAGTCTCGCTTATAGATCTTAAAGATCCATCACATTTTAAGAGGAAAATCAGCTGAAATAATGTTCATCCAGGGGGTTTCTTTGTATGATAATACAAATAGATGTTAGTTTTTATGAAATATCCAAACTTAAATATATTTTGACAGATTGGTCCATGTTCGTCGAATGGGCCCACCGCATTACTTGTTTCACCTTGAAATGACAAAATTAAAAGGAAGTTTTCACATTGTCGATCAACTTGGGAAGAAGAATAACAGAACTGATTTGGAGTTGCCCAAGTCGAACTTCAATTGACTGTGAAGAATACTATAATTGTAATTAGAATACATACAGTGTATACATCAGATCTTATTTATATCAACGATAATAAAAATGTTAAATTTTAGCTTGTTCCATATATCTGGAGACTTTCCTCGACACAAATGAGATGAACCTGATACATGAGGTGGACGTTATAGCGAAGGCAAGGCTTTTGTCAGTAACCCTTTCGATTTAAAATGCGTGAATATGTATACATCTAATATCCGCCACTAAACAACGTTTACTCTCTTGTGTGCCTTAAATTATCGAATGAATGCATTGTATATTTTAATTGTAGAGTGTGGCTAATAAATGTACAGCCACCTACACACGTTTTCTTTGCACAATAAATCAATAACTTGATAAAAATGTAGAATGCTACATACGTACTATAGATAATTTCTAACGTTCCAGCTTTTCACAGTTTTTTAATTCATTCAATCCAATGGTAACGTTATTTAGTTCATACAGTCGGGGTAATTGATCACTTTATTTATCAATTTACAGAAATACCGAGGTTCATTTTCTAAATCTTCAAAGATACATGATCTGGATCTGTCTAAGGCTGTTAAAAGGACACGGTGCATTTCGAGTGAGTCTTTCTCATACACGAAACACGGGGCCACACCGAAACCAAAATCATCTTTTAAAAACCAATCGATGACTCCCTATGTAACAAAATAACAAGTTCTGGGTATGGTGTAGTATTATCATCAAACGTATAGGTTGATAACATCAGTATCTATCTTTCACAAGGTGCAGTATCGACAGAGGGCACTGCGTCTCAAGTAATCCACAATGCTGTATGTGCCGGGTGCAATATGGAACCAATTGAAGGCGTGAGGTATATCTGCATGGACGGACATACCTTCAACCTGTGTGCACTTTGCCATGACAACGGGGACCATGATGGAGATAAAATGTGTAAGATAGTGGATCCAAAACAATGGACAAGAGAACAAAACAACGGTACAATACATTCCCAGATACCGGTTATATCAATCCGTCCTTATCTTACAAAAGTAATTTGCCACGTACTTTATGATTTTATTATAAGTTATTAATCCCACCAGATCAAACCTTTTAGTAAGTGACAAACTATTATAAATTTACAGATGGTTCTCCAAACAACCTCCATTATGGAATAATCTGTGCAATCTGCGATGGACCAGTAATCGGATTGCGACATGAATGTGATACCTGTGAAGACTTTAACTTTTGTAATGAATGCATTGCTAAGGGAAACCACACGCATCATGGAATAACTGAATATTATAAACCAGAGAAGCCATTCGACTCTAAAAGTAAGTCATGCATTAAAAGATCTGTCATTGCTTTAAGATGTATCGTTGGGCTGAACCATACAAACTATGTTAAACTATTTCATCAAACATAAACACGGTGACTATCCAGGTCACGTATATCTCGAGCAAGTTCCTGCTGATATTGTGAGCAATGAGCTCATGTTAGAAGCGGAGCCCTGGGAGATGAGATAAAATTGAAACATACAATTTCCATGAAACGTTAGTGATTCAGTACCTATTATTTCATAGTACAATTGTTATTTTATAGTACAATTGTTATTTCAATTGCAGTTCAACGACGTGCTTCATCTACAAAATTTTATATTTTGATTTTATCATTATCTCTCAAGGCCCCGCTTTTAACATGAGCTCGTTGCTCGCGATGTCAGCGGGAACTTGTTCGCAATATATGGGGCCTGGATATTCCCCGTAATAAACATCCATTTGTTTGAACTCTAAGTTCCTGATGAATAAAGAATTTAATCCTATAGGTGGTTTATAAGGGGCTTTGTGATTGTTAAACTTTTTGAAGCGACGTAGCCTCGCCTCGATTAGAAGCAATGCTGCAAGCATATCCTGAATTAATCTTAAGTATAGGCGTTTATTTTAGGAGGAAAACCGAACACTCTTAAACATAATGGTATAATTTGTGACGGATGTGGATCTAGGAGAATATTTGGAAGACGTTATAAGTGTGAAGAGTGTGAGGATTATAACTTATGTAGTGTCTGTAAAGAAAACATTGGATTCCACAATGACCATGCCTTCAGTGAGTGTACAATTTGAGTATACACTTTTGATTTAATTAAGAATAATGTAATTCAGTTTAAAATTCAATTTATTTTTCAATAGTGTAAAAAGAACTTATTTTCTTCTCTCAGGAATTGTCTATCCTTTGCTTTGGTTATTTACATTGTAATTTAGATTTAGAACCGTTTTACATGAGTTACATATGGGGAGAATGGACTTTAATCAGTTTTTAAACCAGCAAAATATGTAAATATTCTTATCATATCATTTGGTAACATAAAATGAAACTCTGAAAATACTGTGAAAGTACTTTATTGTAAACATTTCTAAGGTTTATATGAGAGTACGAAATTTGGTAAAAACGATGTCGTATGGGTCAGCTGCAGTGCTGACGATTTTCCACAACTACAACGGGGCTTTTACATTGGAAAAATGGCCAAGGTTTGTAATTTCATTCTAGCTACATGTATAGGATCTATTTATGAGGTTTTGGAATCATGTTCGCATAGTTTCGTCTTCTCCATTGAATGCGCATCATGCTGTTTCTATGGAAAATGTTTGAAAGGCCCTATATAAGTCTAAACCCTTTTAACTTATATATTGTAGTCTTACCCAATGTTATCAAAGTGTGATATGTGGAACTTTTTTCCAACTTCAGAAAGTGGTTTTTGAAGGACTTATTGATCGAAGTATTGTGAATTTATTTAAACTTTTAAAGGTCACATTCATATTTTATTATTATTACATCTAAGAAATGAAGAATCATACATATAATTCCATATATATTGCAATTCAAACATGACTCTGGTCAATGATTAAATAGAACAGTTCACCATTTACATCTACAAGATTGTTGATTTTGAAGAAATTAAATTTTATATGTTTTCAGACAAGTTTATTATTAGAAATACCAAATAGGTGTTAGGTTACAATTGATATTTGATATGTATATTCCAATTGAATTTGTTTGTCAAAATGTTAGGAAATGTAATAATTAATTTGATGCAGCTAAATTAAAAAAACTAGTTGGAAAATCATTGCATTGACTAAGATGAACACACCGATGATATGCTGACACCCTTTTTGAAGAAAAGTACTGCTCAGGCCGTGCATTTATCAAAAATTAAATGCACAGCAAAATCATTTTCATGATTATATCAATAAATGAACACACTGAAATGCTTTAAGCTGATTGGCTGAGACACACTTGGCATGTTTGAATAAGCAATAATTCACACCAATGCAGAGCATGTAGCCTCCTTTTTTTGCTTGAAAATTAAGAAAATTAGGGTCATAAATAAGCGAGAAATGAACGCATCAATCCCTGCATGAAATTGGTTCAGAGAAAAATGCATTTTAAAATTTTAGTTCTCATAGAAACCGATGGTAAAATATTATTTAAGCCATATTATAGTCATACTTTAAAACAGGTTAGACAATCGGCATTGGTTTAATTTTGACGTTTAGCATATTTACAAAAGATCGATATGGGAATATTTTTTTCAAAAAACGTTTGCCATCTGAGTGATGTGACGATGAGGTCACTTAGCTTGCAACATATTTTTGATGTGCTAAAACATTGAAATGGCACATTATATTGAATTTTATGTGTCCTCTGGTCAATCTTTGCATTGGTGTTAAAATATAATGTTTTTGCACTGTTTAGTGAAATATTTGATGATTAAAAAACATTCAACTTTTATTTGTAAAATTGGAATATTTGAGAAATGAGAACCTGACAACCTTTTTTCAAAAATGTTATTTTTCAGAAATCTCTAAAATAACTTTTAAAGTCATTTTCAAACTTTACATGGGGACGTTAATGCTGTGAATCGAATATTGTAGTTGATGAGAATACTGGTACCTCATTCCATTGTTTTGGTTCTAGATTGCTGGTATGCGTGGCATTGTGAGTGCAATAGATGAACATGTAAAAGATTCTGACTATTATTTGCGAGTAACCTTCATCGATGGTTTTGAGTGAGTAAAGCTACGTACTCTTGTTTCAAAAAACGTCCTTATTAGTCTCAAGTGACTCCAACAGAACATTGCCTCTTTTAAAAATGGTTATATGGTTTTAGAAATCTTGAAATATCAGCATTTTCTGGAGTTACCATCGACCTCTTACCAAGTATATACAGTGTAATGATACTTTCCTGAAAAAGGCATGGAAATTCACACATGTCTTAATACTTTATTTTGCACGAGAAAATAACATGTGCATGTATCGCAATTTTTTCGAAAATATTTGTGTTCACCATTACTTTAAGGTAAAGGGTTGGATAAAATACGTTTGCGATATCACATACTTCAACATTCGTTCACCAATATTATTCACATACATTTGCTTATAGTGCGCCCATTCGCCCAGGTGCACTGACGTTGACGATAACACATACGCAAACATTCGTAACTAAAGAAGTTATTCACATACATTTGTTTATAGTGCGCCCATTCACCCAGATGCACTGACGTTGACGATAACACATACGCAAACATTCGTAACTAAAGAAGTTCGCCAATATTATTCACATATATTTGTTTATAGTGCGTCCATTCACCCAGGTGCACTGACGTTGACGATAACACATACGCAAACATTCGTAACTAAAGAAGTTCGCCAATATTATTCACATACATTTGTTTATAGTGCGCCCATTCACCCAGATGCACTGACGTTGACGATAACACATACGCACATACATTGTTTATAGTGCGCCCATTTGCCCAGGTGCACTGACGTTGACGATAACACATACGCAAACATTCGTAACTAAAGAAGTTCACCAATATTATTCACATACATTGTTTATAGTGCGCCCATTTGCCCAGGTGCACTGACGTTGACGATAACACATACGCAAACATTCGTAACTAAAGAAGTTCGCCAATATTATTCACATACATTTGTTTATAGTGCGCCCATTCACCCAGATGCACTGACGTTGACGATAACACATACGCAAACATTCGTAACTTAAGAAGCTCGCCAATATTATTCACATACATTGTTTATAGTGCGTCCATTCACCCAGATGCACTGACGTTGACGATAACACATACGCACATACATTGTTTATAGTGCGCCCATTTGCCCAGGTGCACTGACGTTGACGATAACACATACGCAAACATTCGTAACTAAAGAAGTTCGCCAATATTATTCACATACATTTGTTTATAGTGCGCCCATTCACCCAGATGCACTGACGTTGACGATAACACATACGCACATACATTGTTTATAGTGCGCCCATTTGCCCAGGTGCACTGACGTTGACGATAACACATACGCAAACATTCGTAACTAAAGAAGTTCGCCAATATTATTCACATACATTTGTTTATAGTGCGCCCATTCACCCAGATGCACTGACGTTGACGATAACACATACGCAAACATTCGTAACTTAAGAAGCTCGCCAATATTATTCACATACATTGTTTATAGTGCGTCCATTCACCCAGATGCACTGACGTTGACGATAACACATACGCACATACATTGTTTATAGTGCGCCCATTTGCCCAGGTGCACTGACGTTGACGATAACACATACGCAAACATTCGTAACTAAAGAAGTTCGCCAATATTATTCCCATACATTTGTTTATAGTGCGCCCATTCACCCAGATGCACTGACGTTGACGATAACACATACGCACATACATTGTTTATAGTGCGCCCATTTGCCCAGGTGCACTGACGTTGACGATAACACATACGCAAACATTCGTAACTAAAGAAGTTCGCCAATATTATTCACATACATTTGTTTATAGTGCGCCCATTCACCCAGATGCACTGACGTTGACGATAACACATACGCAAACATTCGTAACTAAAGAAGTTCGCCAATATTATTCACATATATTTGTTTATAGTGCGCCCATTCGCCCAGGTGCACTGACGTTGACGATAACACATACGCAAACATTCGTAACTAAAGAAGTTCGCCAATATTATTCACATACATTTGTTTATAGTGCGCCCATTCACCCAGATGCACTGATGTTGACGATAACACATACGCAAACATTCGTAACTAAAGAAGTTCGCCAATATTATTCACATACATTTGCTTATAGTGCGCCCATTTGCCCAGGTGCACTGACGTTGACGATAACACATACGCAAACATTCGTAACTAAAGAAGTTCACCAATATTATTCACATACATTTGCTTATAGTGCGCCCATTCGCCCAGGTGCACTGACGTTGACGATAACACATACGCAAACATTCGTAACTAAAGAAGTTCACCAATATTATTCACATACATTTGTTTATAGAGCGCCCATTCACCCAGATGCACTGATGTTGACGATAACACATACGCAAACATTCGTAACTAAAGAAGTTCACCAATATTATTCACATACATTTGTTTATAGTGCGCCCATTCACCCAGATGCACTGACGTTGACGATAACACATACGCAAACATTCGTAACTAAAGAAGTTCACCAATATTATTCACATACATTTGCTTATAGTGCGCCCATTCGCCCAGGTGCAATGACGTTGACGATAACACATACGCAAACATTCGTAACTAAAGAAGTTCGCCAATATTATTCACATACATTTGTTTATAGTGCGCCCATTCACCCAGATGCACTGATGTTGACGATAACACATACGCAAACATTCGTAACTAAAGAAGTTCGCCAATATTATTCACATACATTTGTTTATAGTGCGCCCATTCACCCAGATGCACTGACGTTGACGATAACACATACGCAAACATTCGTAACTAAAGAAGTTCGCCAATATTATTCACATACATTTGCTTATAGTGCGCCCATTCGCCCAGGTGCACTGATGTTGACGATAACACATACGCAAACATTCGTAACTAAAGAAGTTCGTCAATATTATTCACATACATTTGTTTATAGTGCGCCCATTCACCCAGATGCACTGATGTTGACGATAACACATACGCAAACATTCGTAACTAAAGAAGTTCGCCAATATTATTCACATACATTTGCTTATAGTGCGCCCATTTGCCCAGGTGCACTGACGTTGACGATAACACATACGCAAACATTCGTAACTAAAGAAGTTCGCCAATATTATTCACATACATTGTTTATAGTGCGCCCATTCGCCCAGGTGCACTGACGTTGACGATAACACATACGCAAACATTCGTAACTAAAGAAGTTCACCAATATTATTCACATACATTTGTTTATAGAGCGCCCATTCGCCCAGGTGCACTGACGTTGACGATAACACATACGCAAACATTCGTAACTAAAGAAGTTCACCAATATTATTCACATACATTTGTTTATAGAGCGCCCATTCGCCCAGGTGCACTGACGTTGACGATAACACATACGCAAACATTCGTAACTAAAGAAGTTCACCAATATTATTCACATACATTTGTTTATAGAGCGCCCATTCGCCCAGGTGCACTGACGTTGACGATAACACATACGCAAACATTCGTAACTAAAGAAGTTCGCCAATATTATTCACATACATTTGTTTATAGTGCGCCCATTCACCCAGATGCACTGACGTTGACGATAACACATACGCAAACATTCGTAACTAAAGAAGTTCGCCAATATTATTCACATACATTTGCTTATAGTGCGCCCATTCGCCCAGGTGCACTGATGTTGACGATAACACATACGCAAACATTCGTAACTAAAGAAGTTCGTCAATATTATTCACATACATTTGTTTATAGTGCGCCCATTCACCCAGATGCACTGATGTTGACGATAACACATACGCAAACATTCGTAACTAAAGAAGTTCGCCAATATTATTCACATACATTTGCTTATAGTGCGCCCATTCGCCCAGGTGCACTGATGTTGACGATAACACATACGCAAACATTCGTAACTAAAGAAGTTCGTCAATATTATTCACATACATTTGTTTATAGTGCGCCCATTCACCCAGATGCACTGATGTTGACGATAACACATACGCAAACATTCGTAACTAAAGAAGTTCGCCAATATTATTCACATACATTTGCTTATAGTGCGCCCATTCGCCCAGGTGCACTGACGTTGACGATAACACATACGCAAACATTCGTAACTAAAGAAGTTCGTCAATATTATTCACATACATTTGTTTATAGTGCGCCCATTCGCCCAGATGCACTGATGTTGACGATAACACATACGCAAACATTCGTAACTAAAGAAGTTCGCCAATATTATTCACATACATTGTTTATAGAGCGCCCATTCACCCAGATGCACTGATGTTGACGATAACACATACGCAAACATTCGTAACTAAAGAAGTTCGCCAATATTATTCACATACATTGTTTATAGAGCGCCCATTCACCCAGATGCACTGATGTTGACGATAACACATACGCAAACATTCGTAACTAAAGAAGTTCGCCAATATTATTCACATACAGGGTGTCCAAGAAGTAACGTCAATGACCCTGGCATTTTGTCATTTATGCTTCAAATGTCATGAAACTTAGTCAGAATGTTCCTTCTACATTTATAAATATAAATATGAAGTATGGAGTTACAAGCATTTGATTGGCCGGTTTTATGGTTACCATAGTAACACAAGTGCATGGACCCCGGGGCAGCTCTGCAATCCGTAAGATCTTTGGAAAATAAAATAACCATAAACACTAGTTTTGAAGTGTACATCTTTTATTTATAATATGACCGCAAATATAATGTTTTCTACTACACATCATTTATTCATAACATTGCTGTTACTGGCGTTATATTAGTGTTATATTAAAGTTTATTGAATGTTACTCTACATAATCTCCACCAAGTTCCACACATCTCTGGTGTCTTCTTACCCACTCCAAGAAAACTCTATTGAAACCACCAGAGCTCATTTCTGCAAGGGATGACAGAACAGAGCTCCTAAGTTCCTCATTTGAAGAGAAAGACTGAGGCATAAATATATGATTTGGACAGGTATATCATTTTTAACATATCATTATAACTAAGCAATCAATGAAAATAAGGGTTTACCTTTGTGACCTTGAGTTGACAGTCTGTCCCAAAGGGACAAAATGGGTGAGGATCATTCCCCTGATGTCGAAAATGTGATTTTCATCTGCTTTTTCATAGGAGCCCCAGGCATCAGTTTTGGCGTTGATGGTGTAGGTGAGTCATCATGTTTCCATGCAGCACTTTGTTGTATAGCATCCAATTGAACTTTCATCAGAAGTTACAATTTGCCCCAGAAAGTTTTACCTTATAATAACCTGATTTACATAATATTTACCAGGTACATTCTGAACTGCCCCGGGGTCCATGCACTTGTGTTACTATGGCAACCATAAAACCGGCCAATCAAATGCCAGTCACTCCATACTTTGTATTTATATGTATAAATGTACAAGGAACATTTTGACCAAGTTTCATGGCATTTGAAGCATAAATGACAAAATGCCAGGGTCATTGACGTTACTTCTTGGACACCCTGTACATTTGTTTATAGTGCGCCCATTTGCCCAGGTGCACTGACGTTGACGATAACACATACGCAAACATTCGTAACTAAAGAAGTTCACCAATATTATTCACATACATTGTTTATAGAGCGCCCATTCACCCAGATGCACTGATGTTGACGATAACACATACGCAAACATTTGTAACTAAAGAAGTTCGCCAATATTATTCACATACATTGTTTATAGAGCGCCCATTCACCCAGATGCACTGATGTTGACGATAACACATACGCAAACATTCGTAACTAAAGAAGTTCGCCAATATTATTCACATACATTTGTTTATAGTGCGCCCATTTGCCCAGGTGCACTGACGTTGACGATAACACATACGCAAACATTTGTAACTAAAGAAGTTCGCCAATATTATTCACATACATTGTTTATAGAGCGCCCATTCACCCAGATGCACTGACGTTAGTGGACACTTCAAGAGATGAGATCAAGGTCGGCTGTAAAGTGATAGTGCTTGAAGATGCAGACAAAAAGGCACGCAAAAAAGGTTATGGAAAATGGGATCCAGAAATGTCAAAGGTGAAAATGATGAATTCCCGTTACTATTCAGTAAAACCTAAGTTATAGTTTGAGCAATATAATATAAATGATTCGATTTTCTATCACCATTTCCAAACCATGGTTGCTTGAAAGCCCATAGTTTCCGATACAGGATGATCATAAAGTAAGATCAAAAGTGCTCTAAGTTTTGTAAATATGAATGAATCTAGCTCATTTTCTCAATGAATGTTAATCTACCGATCATACATGTACATACACAAAGTAAATTTCAATATGTTACATCTTATATTGTGCGTCGAGGGTACCCGGGACAGTCAAAAGAGAAACAAAATATTGTGTTGTTTCTTTCTTAATGGTTTATCAATATGGAAATGCAAACATATTTTAGAATTTTTCTATAGTATTACTTTGCCAGATGTTCATTCTAGGTGTTCTATATATTTGCCGTCATGTTCAACACTTCTTTGAGAAGATTTAATCAAGTCCACGAACATATGTTTGAAGCCACCTTCACTTATCACATGCACCTTTTTCAGATCTTCGTTTGTATTGAAAAATTCTGCCCATAGTTCAGATTTTAAGTCCCCATCCCCCTGGTGTGTAAAGGGCCATAGCCAGGTGTTCAAAACCTTTAGTTCTCTATTTTGTTCAGTGTTAGGTTTACTGACTATATGGCAAGGTACATTATCCCAATACAGGAGGAAGTGATCTACCAACTTTGGACTTTTCTTGCGAGTGGCATTCAAACATGTATTCATAGACTGGATTAAATGTCACAAAAGTGTGGTGGACATGATAGCATATATAACATCTAAATGAACATCTGAGAAAAAAATAATAGAGAAGAATGCATTGAAAACCCGATCCCGTCGTTCCCAGTTGATCACCGGGGAGAGAGAAGCCGTTCAATTCGAATTCGTTCGTTTGTTTGTCCGTCTATTCAGAATACAAAGAGGCTATTTTATAGGAAGCGCCACAGTACGTCTAAGAAGAATCTTCAAAAATGGAAGCCAATTTAAAAATAGTTTCCATGATTTTGATGTTCATTTCGTGGTGTCCAGCCTAAGGTCAAGAATGCACTCCTTAGTGCATGGAAGTGCAAGTGCATCTTTAAAATCAATATATCCTCTTCACTGTTCCACAGTTGGATGACTCTAACTGCAGTTATTTGCCTTTCATTCGATTTCGATAAACCTCAGATTTTAGCTAAACTAAGTTGAATCTGAATTCCAAATGTTTCGCCAAGCAAACTAATAAAGTTACGAATTAGAGTCATCCAACTGTGGAACAGTGCTCTTGCAGCTCTTTTCGTTGGAACTTTCTAAACATGGCAACCATTGTTGTGATAAAAGTATGATAACCCTACTATCACACCAAACTAGTTCTCACTACGTTCTCGAAAAAGGGTTTCAACTGTGTACGAACGGTCTGGACGTACTTAGAACCGGTTGGGGTCTATTTACAAACTTTATAGAACGTACTCGAACGGGTAGGTCCTCTAGATTGACACCAAGCAAGTTGCCACTACGTTCTTCAAAACTGGTTTTAAACTGTGTGCGAACGGAATGAACGTAGCTACAATGTTCTACGGTCTGTTTACGAACTACATGGACTTTCCCGGACGGGGAATGTGATTTAGAATTTTGAATCGATTCAAAATTCGATGGCGACCATGCCGTTCTGTAATCAGGTCATGATGAACTTCTAGACTACTGGACGCATTATACGACGTTGCACACCGACGTGGTGCGACCTGAACGAACTGCGAATGAGATGGGCGTTTTGAAGACTGTTTATGAACGAAGGAGCTAATTATTTTAAACATATTTCCCGACCACAGCCAGATTGAGCCCGTTTTACGACGTTTTCGTAGGACTGGCAAGAACGGGTAAGAACTAGTTTGGTGTGATAGGGGGGTAAGGAAGAGGTTTACCCTTGTTGTGATAAAAGTATGATAAGGAAGAGGGGTGGAAGAAATCAACTTTGAAAATTTGGGGTTTCTCGTCTTCTTTTGTAAAAAATAAAACTCAAACCAATGCGGTCTATCTGTCTTCTATTTGTCTACAATCCTCGTAACTTCAAAAATAACGTTTCGGTATGATGTTTCGGTACAGTGCGCGTTGATTTTCTTCAAAAATAAATGTTGTTTACACTGCAGCTGTTAGGCGAGTCTGGTGATGTCAAAAGTATTACAGCTGATGGGCAGTTCTGTGAGGTAGTTATTAAAGGCAATGAATGGATGTTCCATCGGTCTGCTTTACGATTCGTGGTTGCAGAAGGTAGATGTATAATGTATTTTGTAACGAAACATAAAATGACTGAGTAAACTTGGATTCAAAATGTCGATCATCATGTTACCATATTTGATCATTCGCGACAAACATGATATTCCAAGTTATATTAGGCCAAGTTAAAGTTCGTTCAGTATAAGAAAAACAAAAAACAACAAAATGAAAGAATATTTCGAAACTCAGAGGGCCGCGAACTTGAACTTGCAATTGTTGATTTATAAAATACATTAAAATGATAAGCATCATAAATACATATAATGTTTGTTTAAATGTACCATGCTTAGAATTTAATTTTTTAGTGAACAATCAATGTTTTACATGCAGTAATCAATGTCCCCATTTTTTATTGGACTCCTTTGCAGAACTGTATCGTCGGCAAGTGTATTTGTTTAAAATTAGATCAGTCTATTTTTGGATGATTTCAAGTAGCATTGATAGAATCTATACGACTTATAAGGCCAATAATGGCTTGACCTTTCTAATACGTGATACATAAAAGATTAGATGGATAAATATTTGCATTGTTCATCATACAGGGTGACCCCAAAAAAATGCAACCCTCCATTTCTCGAATATTTTTCTTAAATGTAGGTTAATTGCTCTGAAATTTGGCACACAAGGACTTCATTCCATGTGGGAACCTTTGGCAATGTTTCAATAATCATAGTCATATATTGATAATGTTATGGTCGTTCCAAAATATGCTCCAAATGTCGTCCATTTTCAATGTTAGGTTTTCGGATGAATCACATTCCCTTCTTTCTGAACATGTAAACTCAAGAAATAATGTGTTCTGGGATCACAAATTCCAGATAATGTGCTTCATAGGCCCCTGCATTCTGTTAAATGCACAGCTTGGGCTGCCAATTTCCAAATATGAAATCATCAGCCCCTTTTGGTTTGAGGTTGATAATGGCAACACTGTTACTGTTAACACACAGCGCAATATTGGCGTTCCAAGGAAGTTCTAGGCAGTTCTAGAGTGACATAGAGTAGACAAGAACAGTGGTTCTAGAAGGATGAAGCTACTCTTCACACTTCTTATGATAGCATAGCCTGGCTCACTAGTCATTTCTATGAGAAGATTATCTCTCCTAGGACGGGGGACCCATGGTCATCCCACAGTCTTGATCTCAATGCCCCTGACTTCTATATACAGGGTTATTTAAAGGATAATGTGTATGAAAATAACCCTACCGCAATTGCAGAACTCCAATAAGCAATGGCTGCAAAAATTTGAGCCACACCCATGAGAAAGAATGCATACGTGTTATGAGCAGTTTTCCTTGAACATTGCAAGTTTGTTTTCAGCGAAATTGACGACATCTGGAGCATATTTTGAAACAACCATAACTCTATCAATATAAGACTATGATTATTAAAACTTTGCCAAAGGATCCCACATAGAATAAAGCCCTTGTGTGCCAAATCTCAGGGCAATTTACCTATATTTAATATTTATTGTTATTCTATTTTCAGACGAAGAGAAAAAAGCACTTGTCAACTCGGGCATACATGAGTACGTTATTTTTTGAATTTGGTAAATATAGACAATGTCAAAATATGCTCAAAGGATGAATCAGGGAATGGGTAAGAATGTCGATTTACAAACTAGCCGAAATTGTAATATCTGAAGAACCAATCAATATTTCTGTCAAATTCATGCTGAGCCCACGACCGTTTTGGTTTCGATTTTACAATCTGTAAACATGACTCAGATGATGAACAGTCAAATTCAATCAAACACCCAAACCGTAAAGCTATGCTAAATGTGAAAGTTAAAAGTGAGAAGCAATTTTCTGATATTTTTTACATAAAATTGCAGCGATCTTTAAACTGGCGGGAAATTCAAATATATTCTTAACTATGGTTTCTTTCAAATTCTTTAAGGGTATTAACATTTAAATATTTCTCTGAAGCGGACTTCTTCCTAGGTACATTGCTAGAGACTCAATTAAACGGGCCATTATCGTGTTTTACTTGTGATGCTTATATTCATTTCTGTTTAATTTAAGCTATATCGACGTCATACGCGAAGCTTCATCTGACTTCAACGTGATGGGAATTATCAATGGTATCAAGAAAATCAAGAACCATGTCAAGTCAATGGTTCCAGGCGATTAAAATAATCCAGTTGCTCGAACACAACTGGTCACAAAAACAAAACGATGGTGATGGTGCGAGTACATCAAAATGGTGGCATCAGGAGTGGCACATCTGATATGTGCTAGTATTAGACATTATGTCCCCTATCACTGAATATATGCCTGAGGTCTCACGTCAATATAGCCCGAGCTTGTCAAGGTCAAGGACCGAAGGAATTGTTGTATTACATACCTAAAGTACATTTAAATAATATGCCATGAAGATAATATGAAGAAATGTGTGAAAAAAGATCGAAATTTTACACGATTCCACTTACAGGAATTAATTTGTTTACATGTTATGACGTCTTAGAGTTGTCATGGTAAAAAGGTTTGGCGGCTATATAGCCGACCTTCAGCTCCATTGACTGTCATACAATGATTCGCTAGTTATGTAATGCTCCGTATTGAATAAACACATAATAATAGGTTTGTGGACTTATAAGAGAGAACGTGTCAAACCCCTTCCCCAAATTGACACTTCTCTCTTATAAAGCCTAGTTGTAAAAGATACTGTATATTAAGAAGCTTAATGTATTTTACACATTTGAAACTGCTCCCCCATAGCGGACAATAAGATTAAAAATTATTTTTTAAGAAAAATCAAAAAGATCCAATAAGTCTGGATCTTAGTATTACCTCCAGAGTAATTAGAGAAATCAATAGCAGGGGTAGATTTAAAACTGGTTCAATTCAATGCAAAAAATTGCTTTTGAAAACTCATGAATCTTAATTGTATGTATGTTAAATGTTATACGTTTGAATAACATTTAACAAAATGCAGCAAAAGCCATTGCTAATGTTGCTTTAACATACTAGTTACTATATGAGAGAATCAGCATCTCATAACTGTATTCATATTGTAATATTTTTTATTCTATTGTAAATATATGTTTATGTGTAATTAAGATTGTATGTAATAGAATACCAACATTTTTCATTTTTCCATATTTCCTTCATTATACTTTAGTTTTCTTCAATTAAAGGTTTCAGCAAGAAGTATTGTAATGAATAAGCCATCAAAATATTGTAGTTAAACGCTTTATATATCTCAGGGAGTCAAACAAGGCTGTTCGATCTCTCCGACATTATTTTCGAGACGATCTGGCAACATTGATAAACATAGACGGTAAAAACATTGGCATTTTCATGTACGCAGATGACGTCACACTAGTTGCTCCAACTGCTAACGCTTTACAACATATGCTTAATAAACTGTACGAGTGGTGCAATACGTGGAGAATGACACTAAACACAACAAAGACCAAAATCGTACATTTTCGACCTCATATTTAAACCAGGAGCAATCATATCTTCACATTTGGGCCATCAAATCGTTTAGAATATGTTTCGAAATATCGATATCTAGGACGTTAAATGAACATCTTGATGTGCGACAAACTGTTAAAATACTTGCAAAATCAGCAAATCGTGCCTTAGGAATGCTTATTGCCAAATCAAATGTAAAGGGTGGACTACCATATGCAGTATTTACAAAACTATTTGACGCTCTTGTTTCCCCTATTACTAGTATGTTACATGGTGCCGGCATTTGGGGTATTCGACAATATTCAGAAATGAATACAGTTCAAAACAAAGCAGCGAGGTATTTTCTGGGTGTTGGACGTAGAGCACCAAATGGATCAACCAAAGGAGATATTTGTTGGACTTCGGTATTTACCAAACAGCGAGTCGAGGTGACTAGACTTTGGTGCCGTTTAAAAAACATGGCTACAGATAGGACACCGAAACATATATCAAAATGGTCTTTTCGACATCATAAATCTTGGGAAAATCTCACCCGGAAAATGTTACAAGATCTGGACTTTACTCAGCTTATCAACAATGATACTATATCTCGAGTTAAATGCCATCATAACGAGGTCAAAGAAGCATGCATCAGAGCAGATCACGTCGAATGGCACAACTGTTGAGGACGAGTTTCATTTTCTTTTACAGTGCAATAGTTATGAAGAACTGAGAACTCCATTGTTTTTAGATTGTGTTAAGGAAATTCCTGACTTTCACCAGTTTAACCATATTCAACAATTTTGCAATATTATGTCAACACAGAGCCTACAAAGGACACTATCCAAAACACTTATAAAAATGATTTTAAAAAGACGTACTCTGCTGTGATAATTTAACCTTTTATATAGTCATACTGAATCTAGTCTCTCATAGGTCGACACCGGCCGGGCCAGACGATTTTAATATTATTGTTTTATAATTGTATGTATTTTAAATGGCGTGAGACATAAATAAAATATAACATAAACATATATCCAGAAGAATATCAAGCTGATTAGATATATGGTATTAAATATATGTAATGTTACTGCTGAATAAAAACAATTATTGACTACTAATTTTCTTTGGCTTTGTTAGAAACACATGAGATTAAAATAATTTTAGATCCCAACCATTGTCAATTAAATTATCTCAACGATATCAATCTATCTATCAATCTATCTAGATCTATCAATCTAAATTATCTCAGTTTGTCCGTCAGTCCGTCCAATAAAATCAAATTACAATCTACCTACATGTTGTAGATATCCAAAAAAGTGTAAAATCTATGTTCTAATTATTAAAGATTGTAGACGTCTCTGACGCTCTTATTCAAAACATGTGACCAGTGTACTTATATATTACAAAACGTCCGTCTGGAAGATAACTCAAATGCTTGTGGACAGATTTTCTTTTAGAGATAACCACATATAGTTTTAATTGATGGAAATTGTGTTAAGACCATTTGAAGAGTACATATTGTATGGTGTGAAAGCCAAAATTAATCATACATACATACTTAAATCTTTAACATTTTCACAAATAAGGAATGTTAATGGCTCTGAAACTTGATCTGTGGGTATTCGATCCAAACAATGGGTACAAAGAAAATCTGGCCGGTTGTCCGTCTGTAAATAAATCATCATGATAAAAGTATGATTTATTATAGCATCCATTTGTTACCATTCTGAATCCAAATGATACATAGTGGCATCCATTATATACACGTACATATATGTTGACGTTTACGAAGTGTTGTTCAAATATCTTCCCTATACCAGGAAAATGGTAGCTGAAACTTTCACACATACTATGTATATTGAATGTGTATGAAAGATTCCAAGTCACTATGTTAAAGTCCCCATGTAAAGTTTAGACCACTTTGGCTTATATAGTCTTACCCAATGTTATCAAAGTGTGATATGTGAAACTTTTTTTTTAAATTTCAAAAAGTGTTTTTTGATAGACTTTTTGTTCCAAAATTTGTGAATTTATTTAAAACTAACTTTTAGAGGTCACACATATATATTTCAATTAGCCACAATTCATACTAATGCATAGCACTCATTCTCGCGTTTTTTGCCGAAAAAATTGAGAAAATTGGTTCATAAATAAGCGAGAAATGAACTCATCGGTGCATGAAATTGGTTCTGAGAAAAGCGCATTTCAAAATTTTAGTTCTCATAGAAACCAAAGGTACAATGATATCTAAAACATAATATATTCTTCCTTTTAACTTGGTTAGACAATTAACACTGGTTTATTATTGAAGTCTAGCATATTTAGAAAAGATTGACATTGAAAAAAAAATTTCAATTTTTTCAAAAGGTTTTTGCTACCTTAGTGACATCACTAATGTTGCAATTTTTAATATGCGAAAACATTGAAGTGGCCCAATAAATATGGCATTTTATTATTGAAATAGAGTGTCCTTTGTTCAATCTTTACATTGGTGTTAAAGAGATAATCTTTTTTGAAATGCATTAAGAAATATTTGATGATTAAAAAATTTCAACTTTTTTTGAAATGTTTTTTTGAATATTTGAGAACTGAAATGCTCATAACCTTTTTTCAATTTTCTTTTCAAAAATCTCTAGAATAACTTTTTAAGTCATGACAAATAGTAAATGAATGATAGAAAAATATTTTCAAACTTTAGACGGGGACTTTAAGTAGAAACTCTGAGATCACTTACCTCAATTTGCTGTCATATTTTTGCAATGATCCCATTCCCTATAATGTACGCGAGCACCCACGATACATTGCATATACATGACTGCATCCACATAGATCGACTAGCCACAGTGTACCAAGGACTTGTTGTTTAGTCATTCTATTTGAGAGATGTGGAATATCTACAGTAATTTGTCGTAAAGCTCTGATTTAAATTGCGCTCTAGACGAAATGTCAATTTTCGGACCAGTCTTACGTCACGCTGGTAGCAGCATGTGGGTTGATAGTTTAAGAGACGTTAAAGTATACATTTTTGCATTTGCTCCACCAAGGACTTCTTGAGTGGTCATTCTATTTGTGAGATAATGAGTATCTTATTTGTCATAAAGCTTTGATATACATTGCGCTCTAGACGAAATGTCAGTTATTGGACCGACCTTACTTTGCTGGTAGCAGCATATAGCGTCAGAAGTGGTTCAAAATTCAATATTAATATTTTATTTGATATATTGTAAATGTTCGAAATAATCTTCAAAAACATCGAACGATAAAAAAGGTATTGATTCAAATGTTAGAAGCATCGAATATGAAAAATAAAAACATCAAAGCAAAGTTTCAAAATATCAAACATAAAAAAAAGTATGAACGATTATTTTAAAAACTTTGAATAAGAAAAGAAAATATATAAAATAAGAAAATCCCATGTCAAACCTAATGTTCCATAGTTCAAACTAATAATTACACCACAAACTAACTTAATGTTTTGAACTTCTGTACATTTCGTGAATGAAGTTTTCATTTTTATGTTCGAACTTCAAAGGTATTTTGCATTTGCTCTTCCAAGGACTTGTTGTATGATCATTCTATTCGTGAGATTATGAGTATCTAATTTGTCATAAAGCTCTGATTTACATTTCGCTCTAGACAAAATGTCATTTTTCTGTCCAGTCGTACGTCACACTGGTACCAGACAGTCCTTTGTTGATTTGTGAGACGTTTCAGTACATGTTTCTACGTTTTCTCTACATAGGATTTAATGACTGGTGTTTCTGGTCATGAAATATGTTATATCTAATTTGTCTTAAATCGCTGATACAGTTTGCGATCTAGACGAAATGTCAATTTTCGGACCAGCCGTACGTAACGTTGGTGGCAGCATGCAATTTGCTAATTAATGAGATTTTGGAGGACACATTTTTACATTTTCCCTACCAAGGACTTGTTGATTAGTCATTCTGCTTGAAAGATATGGAATATCCAATTAGTCGTAAAGCGCTGATTTACATTGCGCTCTAGACGAAATGTCAATTTTCGGACCAGTCTTACGTCACGCTGGTAGCAGCTTGTATGTTGAAAGAGGTTAAGTTGATATTTTTTATTTGCTCTACAAAGGACTTGTTGAGTTGTCATTCTATTCTTCTATTCGTGAGATATTGAGTATCTCATTTGTCATAACGCTTTGATTTACATTGCTCTCTAGACAAAATGTCAATTTTTAGACCGGCCTTACGTCACGCTGGTAACAGCATGTGGGTTGTTAGTTTGAGAGACGTTAAAGTATATATTCTTGCATTTGCTCTACCAAGGACTTGTTGATTAGTCATTCTATTTGAGAGATGTGGAATATCTAATTTGTCGTAAAGCTCTGATTTACATTGCGCTCTAGACGAAATGTCAATTTTCGGACCAGTCTTACGTCACGCTGGTAGCAGCATATGGGTTGTTAGTTTGAAAGACGTTAAAGTATATATTTTTGTATTTGCTCTACCACGGACTCTTTGAGTGGTCATTCTTTTCGTGAGATATTGAGTATCTTATTTGTCATAAAGCTTTGATTTACATTGCGCTCTAGACGAAATGTCAATTTTCTGACCAGTCGTAGTTTTCACTGGTACTAGTTCGTCCTGTGGTGATTTGAGAGACATTTCAGAATATATTTCTACGTTTGATCTACGAAAGATTTAATGAATTATGTTTCCGTACGTCAAATATTTTATATCTAATTTGTCTTAAATCGCTGATGCAGTTTGCGCTCTAAAAGAAATGCCAATTTTCGGAACAGTCGTACGTTACACTGCCAGTAGCTAGTCCTTTGCTATTTTGTGAGACGTTTAAGTATTTATTTTTAAGTATGCTCATCAACGGAATAAATGACTGATGTTCCCCTTCGTGATATATTTTATATCTAATTTGTCTTCAATCCCTGATGCAGTTTGCGCTCTAGAAGAAATGTCAATTTTCGGACATGTCGTACTTAACGCTGGTGGAAGCAGGATATTCGCTAATTAGTGAGATGTTTGAGGATACATTTTTACATTTGCCCTACGAAGGACTTGTTGATTGGTCATTCTATTCATGAGATATAGAGTAACTACTTTGTATGATTTGTCGCAAAGCTCCTACTTACATTGCGCTCTAGATGAAATGTCAATTTTCGAACCGGTCTTACGTCACTCTAGTAGGAGCATGGTGTCTGTTATTTGAGCAACATGTAAGGATATAATCTTTGAATTTGCTCTTCAAAGGACTTGTTGTATGGTCATTCTATTCGTGAGATTATGAGTATCTTATTTGTCATAAAGCTCTGATTTACATTTTGCTCTAGACGAAATGTCAATTTTCTGACCAGTCGTACGTCACGCTGATACTAGCTAGTCCCCAGCGGATTTGTGACACGTTTCAGTATATTTTTCTACGTTATTTGTACGAAGGATTTAATGACTGGTGTTTCTGATCGTGAAATATTTTATATCTAATTTGTCTCCAATCGCTGATACAGTTTACGATCTTGACGAAATGTCAATTTTCGGACCAGTCGTACGCTACACTGGTACTAGCTAGTCCTCAGCTGATTTGTGACACGTTTCAGTATATTTTTATACGTTATTTCTACGAAGGATTTAAAGACTGGTGTTCTTGTCATGAAATATTTTATATCTAATTTGTCTTAAATCGCTGATACAGTTTGCGATCCAGACGAAATGTCAATTTTCGGACCAGTCGTACGTAACGTTGGTGGCAGCATGCTATTTGCTAATTAATGAGATTTTGGAGGACACATTTTTACATTTTCCCTTCCAAGAACTTGTTGATTAGTCATTCTGTTTGAGATATATGGAATATCAAATTTGTCGTAAAGCTCTGATTTATATTGCACTCTAGACAAAATGTCAATTTTCAGACAAGCCTTATGTCACGCTGGTAGCAGCATGTTGGTTGTTAGTTTGAGAGACGTTAAAGTACATATTTTTGCATTTGCTCTACCAAGAACTTGTTAAGTAGTCATTTTTTTCGTGAGATATTGAGTATCTAATTTGACATAAAGCTCTGATTTTCATTGCGCTCTAGACGAAATGTCAATTTTCTGACCAGTTGTACTTTAGGCTGGTAATAGCTCGT